CATAATTTGACATTCTGTGTCTGCCAGAAGTGGAAAGCTCCCCTCATTCCTGGAGTCCTGCTATAATCCATCTGCAGAGCTTTCATTGGCTGGTACCAGGAGCGGCTGACTTTTGGCTCATTTGGTCCCTGAAAATATGCTGCATTTGCATTAATATTCCTAGAAAAATAGATTACAAAACTTTTGGGAGAGGAAGCTAAATATACACTATATTTGGGTACATGATGATTTGATGTACCTTTTTAAATTATTGTATGTTTCATTGGAAGAGTAAACTTGGACTTTTTATTGTGGCTTGTGGATTTTTCTTTAGTGTTAAAAATAGCTTTTAAAGCTTGCTATGAAATACTCATTTTTTTATCTTGAATTCTACATGATTATTGTGTAATATGTTTTCTAATGTGTATTCAACCATAAGAACTGCAGTTGTCAAAGCAGAGCTAAATGTGCAACTTGATTTATTCCAAGCAAATAATTTCCTACTCTCTATAATTGTTTAATTGCACAAAGCCCTCATTTTTTTTTGTCCTTTTTAGTGACAAAAGGAGGATATCCTAGGAAACTATAAGGTATTATGAGGGTGGTTTTGTTTACATTTGTCTTCGGTGCTTATTTTGAAGGAGTATATGTCTGTAGCAGGTTTTTTAAAGTAGGCTTCCTGTTATCCCAGTTGTGGGAAGAAGGGTGTTTGCCAACATGAAAATGTTAGAGAATAGTAAAGCCCTTGTTGCCTGCCCAGACAAATTCATGACCTGTTGGTCTCAAGGTTACAAGCATTTTTCTTTTGCGGTAAGTTGTTTAAGGGCCAGTGGCATCTGGAATGCCAGGCTTAAGTTCTATGTTCTAATAGGTAATACAAAATTAAAAGTGGAAATAAGGGATAACATCTTACAAATAAAACAACAGTAGAGTGAATTCAGTATGTTTACAGTCAGTAAAAGAAAAACTGAAATACTTGACCTTAAAGTTTAAGAGTACAATATTTTTTCCCCTAATTTTGACTATATATTAAACAGTTGCGTAAGTTAGAATGAAGTAGTCCAACTTTGTAAGTGGCCGGAGGCTGAATGGTTCCCCCTGTCTGCACTTTGAACCTGTGCTGCTGCCCCAGGTTCACCCTCAGCTTCCTGGGCCATGCGATGCTGAACTGCCCTGCTCCCAAGGACAAGTAGCAAAGGCCAGAAGAAGGAGGAGGATCCTAGAGATTCCAGCTGCTGTTACAGACAGAACAATAGGAGGAGCAGCTATGACAGCCAGACAGGAGCTTGAAGGCTGCAGCTTAGCCCTTCGTGGTCGCATGCGGCCTGGAAGTGCCTATTGGGCAGCCCTGTGTTGGAAATTCAGTATCATTTAATTTAATATAAATATTTCTTAGCTTATGTTTACTTTTAAAGTATTTTTACTAGACTATATCAGATATGGATTCCTACTTTTCCAGTGCCCCCTATTTTGAAGGATGTCACCATTTTTTGTAGCATGAATTTATTGCTGGCTTGCTTATTATTTGACATCATTTGTTAGAAACTCATAATTATGTAACAAAGCTATGGATGCTGTTGAGCTCAGTCTCCCACTCTTACATCAATGTTTAGATAAGTAATCACGGTGATACAAATATTTGTCTGGGATTATCCTGGCTTGAGTTTAACCTGCTCCTTTCAGGACTTCTTGATCTGCCTTCCAGCCCTTTTATTTTTGCATGGCTCTGTGAATATAGTACTACTTCTCCAGTCTTAGATGTAAAAAGGCATGTTGTACCTTTTTACCTGATTTACACAACTGTTTTCCTATTAATACAATGACCCAATAATATCTTTGTCATGAAGGGGGTTTTTTGTAACTCTTATCTCATGACAAATGCATTTTCTATAATTGGTTCACAAATCTGCAAATAATCTAAGTGTTTCAACTCTGGAGTGAGAATGTGCAGCATCAAGAGCCAGATGTGCACAGACTTTGGACATGTTTTCTGTAGTAGATATGACCTTAGGCACAGGCTTAACTAGTGCATTGATTGCTGCTGTTTACTAAGGTTACTCAGAAGTAAACTAGCATGTTATATAAGTATTTCAACTTAATTAGATTATTTGGCAGTAATGCATTCTGTTCTGGATTAAGCCAGAAAGAGAAATGCCTACAAAAACATTTCAGAGGCCTGGACCTTTGACTTTGAGAGCAGTGTGGGTGGCACTGTTTTGCTTAGTTGAAAGTCGGATAATTTTCCCATACGTTAGAAGTGGAAGGCAGTGTCAGATTTTTTAAAAATGGGTACCAACAACTATATTTCATCATTACTTAACACTACATGAACATTGGGCGCGTCTACATGAGACGCTAACTGCAAAGTAGTCTGATAATACTGTGCAGTAGCACATCACAGCACAAACAATGCTAATATACTACAGCACAGAATTATTAGGTTACTACACTGTAGCATCACTAAAAAGGCATTTGGCTGAGCTACTGTGCAGTAACTCTGGTTGCTGTGCATCTATTTAGTACTTGATTATACAAGTACTGAATTAAATGTGCAATAACCACTGCACATTATGAAATGTGTAGACACACCCAGTGAGTAAGCATTGTACTTAGTAAGCATCGTATCTTAAAATGTACAAGGAGCTATTCCAGTAAGCTGCTGTTGAAAAAAGGGGAGCAGCTGGTGTTATCCACATGTGTAGTTGGCACAGGCTTTCTTGAGGTCTTCAGGATGCAAACCCAAATTCATTTTACTGATTGAATCTATTGCTCAGTCTACGCAGAATATGGAAAATGTTACATGTTTGTCTAATGCATGATTTGCCTACCATTAAGAGCCATTTCTACCACTATTAAACAAAGTTGACTTAAAAAGGCTGAAGAGAAAAAAAGAATAGGCAAAACAGTCACAAAATCAATCCGCACTTTCAGGACTAAGATCTTCATGGTGGTGATTTTGATTTGGCTTATGACCATAAAATGAGTGTTAGCAACTTTAAACTATATGAGAAAACAAACTGTTCTGCTGGAAGCAGCAAATTATGAAGCGAGAAACAGCCTGTTCAATTGGAAAGCAATGTAGAATGCAATCCCAGTGATACAATCAGGGCTCGCTCTTTCATTGTGATTGGAAAGATTGTGCTCTCTTTGCACTCCAGCTATAAGGGCAGAACTTCTAACTCTTCTTGTCTTGAATGTGCAAAATGAAGCTGGCTGATAGGCTGAATTATTTATTTACAACCAGAGAGTAGACCAAAAACCTCCACTTCAAGCATGCTTATTACTCTTTCATAATTTAAGATTAGAGAAGAAAATGGCAGATGAGGAGTTTATTTGGTATTTCGATGAAAGGAAGATAAACTGAGGATGACAAACCTGTAGATAAAATAGTTCAAGCTGATGTTGAAAAGATATAGCAGAAAGCAACATTCTTAGTGTATTGACCTCTTGCATTCTTGGTGTTACTGCATTTAAAATGACCCTTTTTCCTCTTGGTACGTGTGTATTTCTGTTTTTAATTTAATTTCTTTTCTTTTTGTAACTGTAAATAACTCAGTTATGTACCTTGTTTGTTTATAATTGAGCAAGCTATCTAACCTCCTGTAGACTATAATTTGTCGTTGTTTTAATGAATTAACTTGCTGAATGATGATTTATTTTTAATATTTATTTGACTGGTCACTTGACCAGTTACCTTTTAGCCTGGTCAAATATCCGTCCTTATTTGGCTAGCAATTAGATCTCATACACAAGTCAAATTTTTTGGTTTTTGCTATACACCTACATTTGTCATCTCTTCAATACTTTGCAACTTTCAGATTACATAAGTTTCATTTCAAACCACACTAATTTGTAACATAACAGCTTCTCATTAAAGACAGTATCTGCCCAGCTGATCCCTGTGCCAATTTAATTTTGAAAGAGAAATTTTGCAGATAGGGCAGTGAAGAAGGAAGTGTTTTTCCTCCATCATGTTGCTGCCTGAGTAGTTTCTGGCAGTCAGCAGCATGCAATAAATGTAATTTAGCACATGGATACACATGGGGAGTATGCAAGTATTTAAAATTCTATCTTTGACCATTAAAATACATTTTAATACATTTATGGACAAAGTAAAAAGAAGTGTTTCAAGAATTAACTTAATTAGTAATGAGATGCAATTACCATCATCACCTACCTTTTTAATTCCTGGTATCACAACAAATAAACTAACTTGCAATAGCATTACCCATGACAGAGTTTCATGAGGAGAAGTCCTATATTACTTGATGAATTTATCTTTGAAAGCTTTTTTATTTGCAGGGTAGAGAAGCAAGACCAAAATGTGCTTGAACAAAACTTCTTATATTTAAGTAATTCTTTAAATTGAAAATTTGCAAGTATAATTCAGGAAGGGGGTGTTGAATTTAGTGTCAGTGAGAAATGTAGCAGTGTTTGATTTGTCTATTTGAATTAGCTCTTTTAGAATTTAGGAGAACATCTGGCATATTAATATAGCTGCAGTTGAATAATTCGTGGCCTTTAGGGTCTTTATAAGAACATTTTAAATTATTATAAAATAAGCTGCCTTGAAGTGGTACAAATGTAGTTTCAGTAAAACTTGAGTGAAACGAATGAGGAAAAACAAGCCCTTCAAAACTTTATCCCAACCTGTGTCTAAAAATAATATTAAAATGTGGATAGTAGGGAATGACACGGCTTATTTTATGTCTTGTTTCAGCCCAGACTTCAGACACTTTTTAGACTTTCTGTTTGTTCCTTCTCTGATGTTTATGGAACAGTCCCGATTTTAACAAGAATCTAAATTCAGCTCAACTGGTGTGTGTGTGTGTGTGGGGGGGGGGTGTTTGTACACACACATGTATACACACATTCTTGCTTTTTCCTTTTTTTAAGAAAGGGTGTGAACTGTTTTCCAGGACATTTTCTCCTTATTCAACCTGTTTATTAAAGGCAAAGACATAACAGGATACTGATTAGTTTTCAGTAACTTTCTAATATACTGTTACTCTTTTGAATAGGTGGTGAAGCTGAGAAAAGAAGTGAAGAGGGCCAGAGTCCTAACCATTCGCCGGCTAACAAGACACATTGGAAAGCTGAAGTTAAAAAAGTTAGTTTAATATTAAATATTACTAGATGTGTTTGAAATTAATTTACTTGACCTACATAAAAATAGACAAAAAAGATTCTCTCAAAGTAAACACACTGTTTAAAATGATTATAAGTTGTGATTAAGTACTGATTATATTGGATAAGTTTGAATAGATCCTAAAATATTTTTAAGAGCATTATATTCTTTTAGAATGGATCTGGACTTGCATTAGGCTTTATGAATAGATGCAAACTATAAAGTAAGGTATAACAAGTTTTATTTATTAATTATGTCAACATTTAACTTTATCTAATATAGCCTAAAATAGTACAAATCTAAAGGGAGACTTAGGATAGGATTTTTAAAATTGGTTAGTAATTTAGGAGCCCAAGTCCTGGTCTCAAACTCACTTAAACACTTTTGAAAATCACACCTTGGATTTTTAGATCACTGTATTGTTTAAAGCAAGTTGCAGCTGCTTTTCTTAGCACAGCGTCTTGCAACATTGTGGCAGAGTGAGTTTCAGTAAGAGTAAATATGCAGTAAACAGGCAACCCTGCTTAACGCTATTCCGCTTAACACTCACTTTTTCAGAAACCAATTAAGTGCATTAAGCGGGGCTTGCCTGTATTTGGACTCCGAGGGATTTATCTTGTAATTAATCTTTTCTAGAATGCTAAGGGATAGATTTTTAAAGACTGCTGAATCAGAGCATAGTTGGGTTGATAGGACCTCAAGAGAGAATCTAGTTCAACCTCCTGCTGAGGCAAGATCATCACAGTCAAGTGTCTGTCTAACTGACTCTGCAAAATGTCCAAAGACGGAGATTTTGTGACCTCTCTGGATAGCCTATTTCAGTGCTTAACCACCCATAATGATAAAGTTCTTCCTAATATCAAAACTAAATTTTTCTTGTTAGAATATAAGAGCATTGTTCCTTATTCTGCCCCGTGCTGCTACAGAAAATAGTCTGTCTCATAAGTACGACGTAGAAATTGCCGTTTACTGGGTCAGACAACAGGTCCATCTTGCCCAGTGTCATAGGTCAAAAGGGAGAGTGAACAGGGTATGACCACTCCACTGTACGAATCCCACTTGGAGCCTCCAACATTTAAGGTCTAAGAAGTTCTCATTCAAAGGCTGTAGACCTGACACCCCTGCTTAATACCTACTGCTGAACCTTTCCTCCAAGAATTTGTCCAATCCTTTTTTGAATCTGACTAAATTGTCAGCTACCAAAACATCTTGTGGCAGTGAGTTTCACACTTTAACAAAACTAACAAAAGGAAGTTTTTTTTCACGCCGTGCATAATTAGTCTGCATTCTCTTCGTAATCTCCCTCCAGGTATTTGAAGATGGTTATGAAATCTTGCCTCAGTTTTCTCCTTCAGTCAAAATAATAAATCTTTCGGGATTTCCCTCTGTCGTGGGTCCAGTGCTGGGGAAGTGAAGTCACCCCTTAACAGTTGCCTGGACCCTGCCTTGTTTGCCTGCTCAAGATCCTGGCCTGTTGTCTCACCTGTCATGCTTTGCTGTTATAATTAGGCAAGGAGGCTCCACCGGGAGGGGGCGGGGAGGAGGATTTCAGGTCTCAGGTCCTTGTCTGGACCAAAGCCAAAGAAGGCTTTTTTTGGAACGAGCATGCTGTTGACTCATATTCAGCTAATGATTCACTGTAACCCCTAATTTCTTTGCTACCATACCACAGAAAAGCCAATCGTTGCTTAGTTTCTCTTTTGCATACAATTGTTCTATCCCAGCTCCGTAAGCTTTTCAGAGAGAATAGCCAATGGTTCTGAAGTTATGTCAGCTAGTTCATTCAGTACTTCAGGGTGCATCCTGTTAAGCTTAGCCATCTTTATATCATCTAGTTTCTCTTAAGTAATGTCTAACCTGTTCTTTTAGTACTTTGAGCTGCTTATCTCTTATCCTGACCTTGCTGTCAACTGCACTTGTCATCTTATTTGTAAAGTCTAAAGTAAAAAAAGCATTAAATACTTCAGCCTAATCTGTATCATTCATTACTCAGTTGTCTTTTCACTTCTCATGTTCTTGTTAAAATCCTTATTACAGCTGAAACCATTCTTTGACCTTCTGATTTAAAAAAAAAAAAAAAAAAAAAATCCCTGC